AACTCAAGGACATGAGAACGCCAACCTATATGCAAAATAGTACACCATTGAATAGTGGGCTACCTAGACCGAAGTCTGTACGCCTGTACAGAAGGGAAATGGTACAGGGATCAGATTGATAAATTAATATAAAGGCATTTACTGATCATTCAAACTAAAAGTTGCTGATGGCTTGCGACATCTATCGGAATACAAGTTGAGTTCATTAATTTCCAGGACTATTCCATATTTAAAAAAAAACTAATATACTATTTTTAAAATTATGCCTCACCTGTCTCAATACACCTGTGCTATTTTTTTTTCCAATTGTCGAATCGGGCGATAACATCTTTTGGAAAGGCTCATCAAGGTCGCCTTCAATTGAATTTGTATTAACGTTATCAAATTTTCTTTATTTTAACTTCTTTGGATTATAGATTACTAGACGAATGACCCGGCTTCGCCCGGGAATTCAGGAGTACATAAAAACGAATAAACGCCGTTAAGATGCTAATAATATGTACATTTAAATATTAGGAGAGATTTTGCATATTGCTTGATATTAGAATACTAGACGAATGGCCCGGGCAACGCCCGGGTTTTACCCGAGTGCGTATATATTTTAAAAATGTTTTAATTAAAATACTATTCGTTACAATTATAAATTGGCGCCGTGGATGTCTCTCTTGTGAAACGTCCCGCCCCAAACTGTGTGTGTCTTGAAAATATAAAAATGAAAATGCGAACGAAAAATATGTCCAGGGTAGCCTAGTGGTCATGACATCTGCCCGGTAAGCGGAAGGTCGTGAGTTCGATTCCCATCCCTTGACACTTTTTTTGTTTTATCCATTCTGACCAAAATCTATCCGTGAACTTCACACAGACAGAATAAGGCAATTATATAAGTAGATAATCCAAATTGTGCCTTATCACACACTATTTTTTTATTTGGCCTTATTACCTTGTGTTTATAATCTATGACGTAATGCCGGCGGCGCGCGCCCGTTGGCTGCCGGCGAGCACGTGACCTCCCTGTGCGCGCGCATCCGTGACAGCGGCCGATGAAGAATTGAGGAAAGACGGTTGTGACTATATAATAATAATAATATAATAATAATAATAATAATAATAATAATAATTATTATTATTATTATTATCATTAGATAATGATAATGATCATAATGATGATGCGCGCGCATCCGTGACAGAACCGGCCCATGACGGTCGTGACTATATATAGGGACTAGACGAATGGCCCGGGCAACGCCCGGGTTTTACCCGAGTGCGTAAATATTTTAAAAATGTTTTAATTAAAATATTATTCGTTACAATTATAAATTGGCGCCCTGGATCTCTCTTTTGTGAAACGTCCCGCCCCAAACTGTGTGTGTCTTGAAAATATAAAAATAAAAATGTGAACGGAAAAATATGTCCAGGGTAGCCTAGTGGTCATGGCATCTGCCCGGTAAGCGGAAGGTCGTGGGTTCGATTTCCATCCTTTGAAATTTTTTTATTTTATCCATTCTGATCAAAATCTATCCGTGAACTTCACACAGTGAACTTCACACAGACAGAATAAGGCAATTATATAAGTAGATAATCCAAATTGTGCCTTATCACACACTATTTTTTTATTTTGCCTTATTACCTTGTGTTTATAATCTATGACGTAATGCCGGCGGCGCGCGCCCGTTGGCTGCCGGCGAGCACGTGACCTCCCTGTGCGCGCGCATCCGTGACATAACCGGCCCATGACAGTCGTGACTATATATGTTAATAATAATAATAATATAATAATAATAATAATTATTATTATTATTATCATTAGATAATGATAATGATCATAATGATGCGCGCGCATCGGTGACATGACGGTGGAAAGACGGTCGTGACTATATATGTTGATTTTATTAAGTTAGTTTTTATTTTTTGCATATTGACTATTGTTTGTTTAATTTTAAGAATTATATCATATTGACTAACTTTTATTTATTACTAGTGGATGTACCCGGCTTCGCCCAGGTTTTTCTCGAGGGAATGTTTGTAGTCTAGTAATAAGAAAATATACTACACCTAAAAACTATCAGAGAAAAGAGAAACCACGGAAGGTGAACAGAAAAATGCTTACAATGGATGTTATGTTTACGATATCAAGTTAAATAAAAACAAAGATAAAATTTGCATATGTTGGTCACTATAAATTTGTATATTTGTTAGGCGAAATTAGAAACATGATAAAACAATTGGGTATTTAAAAACAAATGTAGAAATAAAAGTTGAAGTATAATAAACAATGTTAAAGATTAGTTTTAATTATTAATCAAGATTGTGTGTGAATATGTGAGAAAGATGTAATATCGTTGTTGTTTTCTTAGCCGACTGTTTTACATATGGTGTTATCTTAAAATTGCTTGTTTTGAATATTTTTTAGATTGAGATTATTAGCTAGTATGTAAAAAAATTAACTCTGTTGAAATTTAATTTTGTATTTATATATAAATAAAATTAACTCTGTTGATTTTTTTTTTGTATTTAATCGATAACAGCGAAGTTACGCATGTTAATGTTAGGAAATATATTTTGATGTTAAGCAAAACCTGCTCCATCTCGTTTTACATAAATGTTGAAAATTTGGTCGAAATTGATGCATTGTAACGAAAGTTTTTAGTGATGTCCACTTATGAAATTTCCATTTTATTAATATAGATAGAAAAAAAAAACAAAGGCCAGAACAAAAATTAATAAAAAATACGAAAGCCATTGTTTACATACAGTAACGCTAATTTTGTAAAGTTTTTTTTTTAATTGCATTGTGTGCACTTACCGTAGCTTAGTAATTTAAATTTCTCTCTCAATACTTTTGTAAAAAAAAGTGACACTCGTATAAAAAGATATTTAAAAAAAGTACGCAAGCAACTTGAAAATAAATGCAGAACGCTCATTGGTCGCTTAATTGGCCTCGTGTTGTTACTTCGCCTCGTATTTACTCCGCGTAAAAAAAAAAGTTCTTCAAATGAAAAAAAAAAAAAAGAAATATCCAAAAATACTAATAAAAATGTAGCCGAAAATTTTCCTCAGGTTTATAAAAAGCGACATGCAAAATTTGGTACCAATTGGTTCAGTAGTTTTTGAGTTTATCGCGAAACACAGACATTGACTTTTATATATATAGAGTAGAGATAATACAATAAAATAAGACCTAATCCAATTTGATCACAATCAAAGGTATCTGAGCAGCTACAATCCTACCATCATCTCATCTTACAATCCAAGTCTATCTTGGATTCACCTCTTTCATGGCTGGACTTTTAACCATCCTCCATGGGAAGGCAATACAAAATTCCAGACATATATACTTATAGATTCGGAATCAAGCAGCCAAATGTGCTCCAGCATCCTTAGTTCTTTTCAAAAACGCCACAAAACCAACATCCCAGGACAGTATAGAGCGTTAAAAAAAATTAGCGAAAAAAGGCATGAAACCGTGTACCAAAATATTGTCCCGGCAGAGAAGACAAGTATTCCAAAAGTTTAAGTTAGAAATAATTTATTACAAAACTATGGAATGCAAAACGTGGTAATCTTTTACAAGTGATACTCTAAACTAATGGTAAGGGGTAGTGACATAGACAGAAGAGATATTTAGCTCAGTCAAAAGACTAAGCCAGGGACGATATAGGCATAACTGCCCTTGCACCAGTGACATAGAAAAATATTTTAGTTGATTACTTAGAACAGAGTATTTACCATAATTATTCAGAGTGATATTGCGCCCTTCCTAGATGAACAACGTCCCGCTGTAATTATCACTTGAACAGATCAACTTGGTCCTCAGGGTCATGGTAGGGTTTCATTCTCAGTACATGGACCAGGTCTCTTGTTTGGTGGTTGGTTGGTCCACAGGTTCAACTTCGAAGGTCACGTCAGAGAGTTTCCGAGTAATCTTATATGGACCGAAGTACCTTTTCATCAGTTTTTCTGAGAGTCCCACCTTTCTTATTGGGATGAAAATGTTGTTTCTGTCTCACGTCCATGGACCAGTTCGAATGGAGTGAAGCCTGTCGTATCTTGTTTTGCCGTGTTGTAGGCGAACGTGACGTAGGGCAGGATTACGTCCCAGTCCTTCTGTTCAACACTTACATACATAGCCATCATGTTGGCTAAGGTTTTGTTTAACCTCTCTGTCAGTCCATTCGTCTGGGGATGATACGCTGTCGTGAACCGATGTATCGACGAGCATTGATTGGCGAGTTCCGCAATCAACTTGGATTGGAATACTCGTCCTCGGTCCGTGATGATTTCTCTGGGGGCTCCGTGCTTGAGAACAACATCTTCCATTAAGAACTTGACTGCTTCTTTTGCTTCCCCTGTGGGTAAGGCTTTAGTAATGTAAAATCGAGTAAGATAGTCAGTGCAGACTATGATCCATTTATTACCTCCATAGAATTTCGGGAATATTTCAAGGAGATCTATTCCGATTCTTTCGAATGGAAAGGTTGCAGGAGGAATTGGTTAGAGCAAACCAGGTGGTTTGTGGTTTATCTGTTTTCTTCGGTATTCTTTGCAATGTGCTACATACTTTCGTATATCCTTGAGGAGTCCTGGCCAAAATTATTTGTTTCTAACCCTCTCATAAGTTTTTGAGAATCCTAGGTGGCCTGCTGTAGGAGCGTGGTGTAGGCTTCTCAGTAGTTCCAATCGCAGGTGCTTGGGGATGACGAAAGAGGTGTGGGTTTCCCAGGGGGTCGAAGTTCCTTTTGTACAAGGTTCCTTTCACCAGTTTATATTCTCTTAGTCTGTCTCCGGATTCTTCTATCAATTTTCTAATTCTAGAGGGTCTTTGTTCATAATCGAAGCAGGTCAGAGCAGTTATTGAGGGTGCATCATCTTCTTCTTCGTCTGCTTCTTCCGATTTGCTCTCGAGAGGACTTCGGGAGAGACAGTCCGCGACTTGGTGCTTACGCCCGCTTTTAAAGGCTAACGTAACGTCGTATGCTTGGAGTTTAATGGCCCACCTCACCAGTATTCCTGTCAGGTCTTTCAAATTTGATAACCAGCAAAGGGCGTGGTGATCTGTAACGATGACGAACTCGCGACCAAAGAGGTAGGGGCGGAATTTGTTTATTGCCCATATCACGGCCAAACATTCTCTTTCTGTAGTGGAGTAATTCTTATCTGCCTTTGTTAGGGTTCTTGAGGCGTAACCCACTGGTCGCTCTTTCCCGTCATGGACCAGAACGAGGACTGCTCCGATACCATAACCGCTGGCGTCAGTATGAAGCTGGGTTGGCAGGTGTTCTTCAAAATGAGCTAAGAAAGGTTCAGACATCAGGGCCCTTTTCAGTGATCTATAAGCTTATTGTTCTTCTAAGTCCCAAGATAATTTCTTGTCTTTTTTGAGAATTTCATGGAGAGGGACAGCTTTTTCGGCGAAGTGTTCAATAAATCGGCGAAAGTACGAACAAATGCCGATGAAACTCCTCACCTCAGTGAGTGAGTCGGAAACTTGGCGATAGCTTCTATCTTTTCAGGGTCGGGATAGATGCCGTTGCCATCGACGAGATGTCCAAACACTCTTATTCGTTTGGTTCCAAAAAGACACTTTTTTGAATTGAGGCTCAAATCTGCATTGCTAAGGCATTGTAAGATTATTTTGAGTCTCGGTACAGAAGTTCATCAAACGCTTTGGAGTTATTTACAATGCCCTCTAGATGACACAGGTAGTGCATCCATTTCAATCCCCTTAGGATTTTGTCCATCAAACGCTCAAACGCTGCAGGAGCGTTGCACAAGCCGAAGGGCATCACAAGAAATGCATATAGACCACCTGGGGTTATGAAAGCGTTTTTCTCTCTGTCTCGTCTACCTGCAGTCAAGTGATTTTCTTCTAAATCTTGTGTTCTTCCTAGGCACATTCCTTCAGGGATAATTTGAGCTGTTGGGCTAGAGTTTGCAATTCAAAGGTGTCCTTTATTATGATTGATGATAAGAAGTGTGTAAGGAAGTGATAAGTTATTTTTGACGTGACAACGTCTTAAATTAGGTTGCGGCTGGGAGTCACTTATGAAAAAGTGTAACGCCCGGTAACGTTACGATGAGTCACCGAACGAGAGTGCTGCGCGCGCAGCGCTAGAGAATTAGGCGCATTGAATCGGCGCATGCTTGTCTCTGTCTTTGTCTTTCTCGAACGTTCTTGGCGTTGGAAAAACAAGAAAGCGTCATAATACAAGTTCACACGTGTGGTTAAAGTATCGTCAGCTGTGTCTTTAGTGAAAATGTGGAGTGCTTAGATTCGTCATTTACAACAACTACAACAATAAAGGTAAATAATTGTACACTGATATTTCATTATCGTAAACTATGATTGATTGATTAATTGTTAGATTGACACAAAAGTTGAGAAACTGAGTTTATAGGTTATGTCATACTATTGATAAATGTTGATGGTGTTAAGTAAATTATTAGTTTAAAATTAATTAATTAATTAATTATTATTTTACAAATT